AGTTCAATTTATCGTTGGTTTTCCAAGTTATTTATTTATTTATTCTTATGATGTTTCGATCCTTATCCACTTTTCTTCTATTCTTATATTGGCATCTAAGATATATGGTGGCTGGTATCTTGTCTGAGAAGCTCGAGGTTTGTATCTATCATTTGCAGTCAATAATTCTTTCTGAAAATGATCAACAGTAGAGAGGAGGATGATCAAGTTCTTGTAGGGGAGGGGATTCTCGCTAAGTTCGATCTGCCACCAGCTTTGAACTACATCACGACCTGCCTGTCGTTTAAAGCATCAAGTTTACTTAGCCTAGAATTACGTCAGCATTAGTATGCCTCAGGGTTAGAAATGTCCTCCGTAGCATTTGATTGTAACAGATTCTTCTGTGAAGCCAGTTACAAATCGTTGTGTGGGTGAATGAATGTTTCTTTTGTTCACGTCTTTGCTGGCTCGAATATAAAAATGCTCCTGTGACAAATGGTAGGATTAAACAATCAAACTTTGCAACTTCATTGCCTCATCGAGGGTTCCGATTGGATTCACACAGAAAGTTTTCTTTCCGGATTAGTTTTACCTGGTTGTTCTTCACAGCAGATAACTGTCGAGTGTTTAAGTTGATAGGTTTCATGTTTTAGCATTCTTTCACTCACCTTAACATAGTCCATCGGCGATTGCAAGAAATGGGAATCAATTTGAGTTGCAAGCACCCTTCTCCAATGATTTCAATAGTTTCAACAAGGATTTGTGGATGCGTGTACTCCAGTGATTGCGACTTTCAAAACTAACAAGAAAATCTTAAAATTCCATTCAACCTACACATGAACAAAATATCCATGAACAAGTACAATTAAACGCCTTGACTAGAGTCAAACTATTCTAAACTTATGGAGATTTCATGCCACCATTATAGAAGTTTGTAATGCCAAATCCTAGAATAAGTCCAAAGATCCAAAAGAATTTTAAGGTAGAGATGCAGAATCTCAGGCAGTCCTGCTGACGAAGAGCAGAAGTTGGACCTAACCTTGTGTTTACTTCCATTTCTTAAAATAATTGTGACTTTATTTTATTTTAAAATACATTTTTTTTAAAATAGAAATCTTATTTGTATATTATCAAATTCGGTTGTCTGTGGACTGCTCATCGTAGGCATTCGGGTAGGTCTGCCGATTCAGGCTTGACCGTGAAGGTGAGGGGCAGGTGCTTTTCTCTCACTCGCTCCCTCTCTCACTGGGTGTGTGTGTAGTAAACCCTTTTGTGGTCCCCATACCTGCTCATGGTCAATATGGGTCCCACCTACAACAAAAAAAAAAACAAAAACAAAAAGGGCGCGACATGAGGAGTTATAAGCCTGGTGGTGTTGCCACGGAGTATGAAGGAAAAGAGCAGCAAGTTCTTCTTTTATTAAAGATTGAAAGAATTTTTTTGGTACGTCGAGGCTGGACAGATACGATAATAAAGCACTAGGATGATGAGTTTCCTTGGCTTTGCCTTCTGCACAAGTGAAGACAGCAAAGATCTTATCTAACAGCTGCCAACAGAGAATCAGCAACACCATAACGGAATTCGATTAGCATTTTCACCCTCTAAATGTGGCCACTTCATATCAATTGAAATGTTAATTGTCAGCAGAGCATTTGAAGATTGCACCTCTCAGAAAAGGAAATGTAAGTAGAGCGTAATCTAATTCCACAGTTTAGGCTACGCTTATGTATGAACATCGAGATCACATTTGAACTAAGAGCGGCCAATTTGTGTCCATGCCGAACACGCAAAAACTCTCGGCGTGAGCTCTCAGATCCAACTAAGTCGGATCAATCAGGCACTAAGTCGGATATCTATCTACATGGGCTGCAACCGATGCTTCTAAGAGAGCTTAGAAATCTAAAAATGGTCCAAGTCAGTTACGAGATACCTCGCTGCAACATTGTCATACACTATTGAACCCATCAAATTGCCGCGGCTTTGCCCGCCGAGCTTCGTCATCCCGCTGGCGTTTGTAATTGAACCTGTCTTGCTTCAGTTGCAATTTCTGCTCCTTAATCCGGAGGTTGCGTGACCTCTCCTCCTCCTCTCTGGCGAATTTGTTCTGCAGTGCATAATTAAGACCACGAATTTCTTTCACGAGCATCCGAATTTCTGCTCTGGATAAAGTCCAGTCCGCGGACGCGTCTTGATTGAGCAAAAAGTCTCCAGTTTCAGGACGTTCGTTCTCGTGCGACGCATCTCCAAGAAAATTAGAGTCTCCAACATGTCGTTGTGAAAATTCTTGAGGCCTTGACGCAAACACTGAGTCAATTCTCGATGTGGAATTCGAAGGCACCCCGACGAGATTTGCTCCAAAGAGACTCGAAGGTGGTACTATTGCTAAATATTCGTCATTATCCTGTCTTCGACGTTGATGCAGAGAAGCCCGATTCTTCCGTCCCTCCCGCCTCTCCGCTGCATCAAAGATTTCGTACCATTTCTGGCAAAAGGAGTGTGGTACAGTGCGAATCCTGTCACTATCACTTAGACTCCAGTAACAGCTTTCAGGATGGTGAGTTATCCAATCATGTATATCTATGTAATGTTTCCTGAGTGCGTACCACTTATCAGTACAGTGTTTCTCATTCCTTGTGAAACCGCTGTTCTTCAAGCATTCAGAGATGGATTTCCAGTCCATCCCCTTACCTCTCGACTCAACAAGGATATTTTCTTCCGCCTCCTTCCAATTTTTCCCTCTTTGCCGCTCTCTATAATGGCTGGTTGGGGCTTGATACTCACGGCACCTCTTCTTCCGAGTTTTTGGCTGATTGTCATCTCCAATCCAACACTCCATCTTCTTAACTCCATCAACGTCGGAATCTGATGGTGTCCCTGCTGCGACAAAGTAATCGATCCCTGGCTGTGAGGCCTCCTTCTCTAAGAACAAGTAGCGGTCTGTGTTCTTCCATGCCAGAGATGGGTTCCTTAACACTTCGTCCTCAAGGTCCCACGCGAAATCGTCTAGAACATTAGCACTAATGCTGGTATAGTCAGTTACAGCCATTTTGTGGATGTATGTACTGAAAGAGCACCAAGGAAACGTGAGTGAAGGCAGAGAATTCCTATAAAATTCGAGGAAGAATTGGTTCAATACGTAGCAAACAAGAGCTATATGCAGCTAGAAGAAAGGTATCATCACCAAAACGGATGGATCGACCGGTGCTCGTCCAACTGCGCTCTTCCTACACACGGTGCATAACCATTCCCGAAAATACTCCCACTCTCCTATTCTCCTCAAGCCCTATTTGTTTTTGTGGCTCCTCCCCGTCACCTGTCGGTACTTAAGTAATCCCACATAGCAAATGCAATTCGTTCGAGTAACCTAACCTCACGAATCAAAGCATCCAATACGGAATCTCTGTGGACTCGTCAACTACGCCTACCTGCTAAACAATATCATCTACTTGTGAAAATTACGAGGAAAAGTCTTCCAAGCGTGCATTGCTCTCCTGTTCAGCAGCAGCGAACTGGCTCCAAAGCTCGCAACTACCGTCGTAAGCAGGTCAGGGACATCGCAATGCCAGTAGATCTTTCTCTTCATGGTAAAAATTTCCATCCTTCGAGCCAAAATTCGATTTCTAGCATGATTCAGTCATAAAATGAACACGCACGCAAAAATATAACTAGGGCCAAACTCGCCCCCATCCGCCTTCATTCACAACCATTCGTGACTTACGTGAGGTCAATCCGCAGGGGCCCTAAATTTCCGGGAGTGGCGACATCGGTATGTGCGCCGCATAGCACCTGAAACCATCAACCACACTTCGTTTTCTTAGTCTTTTCCTCGGGAATGCAACCAAAGAAACTTTTGCACGGTAACTCGCTAGGCCACTCTGGGTCCCATCATCGGAGTGGCGGGGGTTCAAGAGTAGGGGCAAGGTTACGACCGGAGCTGAATTCATCGCTCATTCATGCAACGGATTGACTCGTCGAAAAAAGATGCCCACTGACTTGACCAAATCCAAACCCCCCACCGCCCCCCTGCACTCCCACCTGAGCAATGAGTTTAGAAGGATCATTGAAACCACCGTTTAAAGATGTTCGGAAAATGTGACCTCAGTTCTGTGGTTTCACGCCCAAACTGCCCTGGGTCATGTCTGCAAAACCGGCTTCTCTCATCCACCTCAAGTCGGCGCAAGCGAATTGGTGGGAGTTTTGCCGAACCGACAAGGGGTTAGAGAAAGATCTGGGCAATTGCTAACACTGCTGTTCTATCGACAATCCGTCGTGCGCTGGGGGTATTTAGTTGTCGCAAATTCTTCCTTGCAATGTCCGTGATTCATCTTATTTCTTCAGTTGAAACAAGGCTTCAGCATCTGCATTGAAGCTGAAACCTGCTGGTTCCTTTGGGAAATGATCTATCCAGGGTGCAAAAGTAAGTTTCAGAATCCATCTCTAATGGTGCGGAGAGTATCGCACCTCAATGGTCATCACTTGCAGTCGTGCTGCAGTGCCCCAGAAGTGCGTGTCGTCCATTGTGACAAAATGAAAGCCTACGCCGAAACGCACTTATTGACCAAGGCAGGGACGAAAATTCGAAGTCGATAGCATGATGTCGAAGATTGCGAACAGGAATCAGTCAGCGAACTTCCTAAGTCAGAATGGAAGACTACGAGTGTGCGATGATGGTTTTCTTGCGACGAATCACATAAGTACATGATCCAAGGATCGATAAAAGAGCGGCTACAACAACGGTCTCAAATGGCATCAGTCGTATCAGTGACTCCCAGAAAATGCCATATAAGTTTCCTGAAAAGGTGACGTGACACAAAAATAGCGTAACAATGGCGGCTTTTCACATTTTTCCTAGATGACCATTACAGATTGAGAAACATGATAATCTGGCTTGTCGACGATCAAAAGTTGAACAAGAACCTCAACAAAAAACGGACAACTAAATCTTCAAAAATCCCAAAAAGCCTAAAATTTTTAAATTGAAAACCATATTCAGCTACGATCAACTTCTTTGCAACCACTCGTACTCAAACCAACTCAAACTGCTAGGTAAAGTTCATTTAGGCTACAGATGGAGGACAAAGAAGAGGCATTTGTCAGAAATCCACTCTAAGCTCAACTGATAAGTATTGCTCATAAACTGACAAGATCTGATAGTAGATGGATAACGAAAGCTGGCTATCCGCAAAAGAATCAGATGACATGACAATTCTGCCAACATTGAATTCCCCAAGAGAGAAGTACGTTCTAAGAAATGCTAAAACTCAGGACTTCACTGTGGCTTCTTCAATTTCCAAAAATCTCGCCACTGGGGACTACGACAGAAAAAGCCCAGGGATGGAAATTAGTCACGGTAATTAAAATGTAAATTGTACACAATGAAGAAAATACTAGTTACTTCTTTTTCTTAGAACCAGCTTTTGCCGTAACCTTCACATTGGGCACTGGAAGTGGCGGAGGGAGTGTGGTGGTGAGGTGCTGTTGGATGGCGGCAAACGGGTTTGCTTTAAATTGTGGGTGCGAAAGAACAGCAGCAAGCTGCTTTGTCTCGTTCGTTCTACAATACACCAAGACAGAACATAAGTTTAACATATATAGATAGGATAGGTCTTTAGAAAATCTATAAAACTGAAATTTATCCTGCAAGAAATTTTCCAGAAGTAGAGGACACTTGCAACTACACACACTATGGTGGCGCCACGTTGAATATAACGAAGTCTCCAATTTCACTAAAAACTCTTCACTTCGTCCGAGTGTGTGGCAGATGCCTCTCTTACAGTTAGATTATGGGATTAAAAATCACATCATAATCCGACCTGATAACATTCCAATGCACGTTGCATATATGCCTTGATATTCACCTTTCTGCAGAGAAATACAAATTTAATCAATTGTTGGAATGAGAGAGACTTACACAATGGTTTGCTTTGCTTTGCTTCGAAGGACCTTTGAAGATGTAGTGGTAGTAGTTGAGGCAGTGATAGAAGGCAAAAACTCTGAGAGTGAAGAAAGATCGTTCAACGCCCTTCCAGTTTTCTGTGATTTCCGTTTTTTCTACAATGGACAAGGTTATCATAACGATAAGTCAGGGAACAGAAAAACGATAACACAAAAGAAAATTTTTGCCCATAGGTACTTCAATGTGAACAAGGGCTAAAGTTTTATAGCCAGTAAGGATAGGTATCTAAACATGTATGTCAAGCTGCTGTTATCAAGGAGAGATAGGCGGGATTCAAAAGGCAGAGCATACAACAGAAGCAAATCACATATAGTTGAACGAGTAGCATCACGGAAAACTACCTTAAAATTTTTTTTCTGAGCAGACAAAACCCGTTGCGTTTCCTCCAATTCTGAAAAGAGCACAGTTCAGAAAAAAGCGGAAGTAAAAGCAAGCCAAAATAATTCAGTTCGATAGTGGGACATAAAGAAGAATGATGAACAAAGAAAACTGCTTGTGGCGAGACACATACTATTCAAGAATCGGATTTGTTTGGCCATCTTCCTCTTCACACTAGCTCGCTCAGACGCCGAGGTTCCTCCAGCTTCACTACTCCACTCACTGCACAAGCAAAAACAATTACACAAAACGTGTACTTAGCCTTTTTTTTATTTTATAACACATGCCATGCTCACTGTAGTTATTTCAAAGGCATCATTATTTCAACTGCACTAGAAGCTCCGATAACATTAGAGGAAGATGAAGCTTAAGGTGCACATAGTTTGATGGCTGACGTGTGGACTACCTCGCTGCATCTTGAACCATGGGATCTTCATCTCTCTGCAATCGTAGCAAGAGCAAATAATTCAGTAAAGATTGTGACTAGCTCCGTCACCCGAAAACTCCATTGCGCGAACTGGCATTCTTTAGGAATGAAGGTGAAGAGAAACGATAAGTTTCAGGAGGCAGACACACATTACCGTTTCCTTCTTTAAATTCTTCTCGCGAATCTTCTGCCGTGCTGTTTTCTTCTTCACCTGTCCGCCAAACAAACACATACGCACACACCAAGAATTAATGAACAATAAGATTACTAAAATTTCATGGCATTGCAAGCATGAATATAGGTGATTAATACTCCAAAACTGCCAAGTAGATATGAACTGCACAAGAGCAAACTTCCAACAACCCGGAAGTATTTACTTCGGGGACTTCACAGTGTCCAAATAATCAGACCTAGAATCGGTCAACGAAGTCGGAACGACGGCGTGAAAAAGCACGATCCAAAATCACTCCATCCAAAAAACCATCGAGTCTGAAGAACTAGTTGCAACACACCACACCAGCACCACAATTCCAACACCGCGTACCATTGTTACTGTCCCTTCAAACCGTCGATATTTCCACCAATATGAAATTGAAACAAAATTCTCTTATCTACTCAATACCAGACGAAATAGCAGCAGTCTCCGAAGCTGAGAACAACGTCGGACTTCAAATCGTGTCCTAAACCCCGAATTCAGCGTTGCAGCAAAACAAGCAGCAATGTCATCTCCATTCGTTCCGCAAAACCCTAAATCCTTGATTGATGAAACAATCTCACTGGAACCCCTGTGGATGAACGTCGTCATTGAATCATTCATCGTTTTCATTTGTTGGCATTTCATTACCACCGTTTGCTAATCTCAATCACAAATGAATGTCGTCCAATGTTTTGTGGTCGAAAGAGTAAACTGTGATTTTAATTGGCTGATAATCATTACCGTAGGTTTCCTTTGTAATCTATTTGTAATCTATTTGTCTGGATAAATATGAATATTGCAAAATCAAAAGAAAATGTACATAAAAATTTTAAAATTTTAAATTAAAGTGCAAACAATGAGTTTTTATGCAATAATTATAATAATTTTAAAAATTCGTATTTTTTAAATTTTTAATATTTTATTGAAATTTATGAGCTTGATAGTTGTTAATGATTTTTTTATGAGTGCATCAAGATATATAAATATAACAGGTTATTTTATTATATATTAATGGCTAAATCTTAAAAGAAATGTAACAAATATTGTATGATAAACCTCTGTGCATCATGTTTGGAAACTGCAGTGAAGTTTGGAGATTCGCGAAAATTCTTTAAAAAATCTTAAATATTAGTTAATATTGGTAAAAAGGGATATCTAAGTCAAATATCAAAACTTAAATAAAACAAAAAGCTTGAAAAAATGTATGTCATTCCATCTTCTTATTCAAGTAGCAATGAATCTTTTATGTTTTGTTTTTAAAAATTGAAACCAAGATTGCCTAATGTATTTCAAAAATAATGTTGGAAACAATATTATATTGCTCTTGTTGGTATTATATCAATTTTTGATGTGTTCAATTTAGGTCTGAAACTTTTATTGCATTCATATTTAAATATGTGTATTTTTTGGTTTTTTAATTAAGAAGTTGAATAAATTTTAAATTTTAAATAGTTTGCAAAAAAGAATATCTTCTTATAAATCTTTTAATATTTTTAGAATCCAGCTTAAAAATTTTAGAATATTTACTCATTACAAAATTAATACATTTCTAAAGGATTAAATATTACATCAATTATTTCTATGATTTGATTTTTTACAATTTCTTTATTTTACATAAGAACATAAAATTATATTCAATAAAATTATCTTTTATTTGTTTATGAGATTAAAATTAATAATAAAATCAAAAAATCAAAAAGAAGCTCATAGATGTCAATAAACTACTCAAAAGCTATCTTCTTTGGTGCTTTAACATCAATATTGATCCAATATTTAATCTTGTGATTATAAGTATAATTAAGAAAATATTTAAATTTATATATATATATATATATATATATATAATATAAATATTATCCTTTTTGCTAAGATTATAATTGAATGTAATTAAATCTTAAAAATCCAACATCAATTGTACCTAATATATATAACATTTTTTTTGTCAAAATAAATAAAACATATATAAAGCACCAGTCAACATTGAAAAATAATCATGATAATTTAAGTTTCTTCAGAAATTTAATATCATAGAGTGTTATTTTGTACTTAAATTAAATATCATTGTTTGTTTTAGTTAACATGTACAAAACATACATCACAATTTTAAAGTTTGTATCAATTGATGATGCTTAAGGTGGCATAATGTCAAGGACAAGAACATAATAAAGACAAATAAACAAGTGAGACTTCTTTCAAAGAAAGATGATAAAATAGAAATAACTTGATATATATATTAAAAAAGAAACTGGAATGGCTATTGCCAAAAGACAAGAAAACTAGAGACCCTTGAAACTAGACTGAAAGCAAGCAAGGAGTTGACAAGAGTGAAGCCCTCTTCACTCTTGTCTCTATATATACTATCTAATTAGGGGCTACGTTGTCATATTACATGCTATCTTGCTTGAGAATGTACCGAGCGTTTGGCTGTAGAAGATAAAATGATATTTTGCAAGTATTCAGGTAGGCTAGTGGATTTCAACCATCTTAATACAAACTATTTCGGATTTCAATGTAAAAGCTTAATCCCAATACAAAGTATTTAGAAACACAATTTTAAATAATTTTAAGATATTATAAGCATAAAGTCTTTTGTTATTTGTTAGTTTTATTTTATTTTATTTTATTTATTATTATTATTATTATTATTTTTAAACCCTAACCTTAGAGAGTGAGCTTTGGCAAGCTGTAATTCTCAATCTGACCGTCCGATAGTTGTAAACTTCTACCACTAGTGTCTTTGCAAGCCTTCTAAATGCTCAAGAAGTTTCAATCCAATCTAACTTATAGATTGCAAGAAAATGCCATAAATCCACACTAATGTATCTTGACCGCCGCCTAGAAGTCCTCGACTTACCATACCTAAAGTCACCTTGTTTCAGCTGGTAGATCTCCAGATATTACAAAAATCCTAAACAACTCCAATCTGCTAACTTCTAATACCTCTTTACACTAATGGTCAAATATCCTCTATCTGTTCCATCAAATTAACATAAACTTTTGTATGCACTCGACATACTCAACCCTTTAGACACCTCTAAATTTCAATCGCAAAAATTTCTTCAATTTCACAAAATAGTCAAGAGTATCAGCCTTAACTTTATTGCAAAAAAAAAAATCCAAATCACCAATACAAACACCGACTTTCAGCAACGATTGCAAAAGTCCTCCCAAATCTTATAAATCCAATTCTATACCTTTTGAAGGAGCTTGAAACTAGCTCTCCGACCTCCAAAAATCTGATCTCCGAATGCCCCTTTCCTTATCCTCTCCTCCCTTTTAACTTCGTGTGGTCCCCTTTTCTCTCGCCCTGGACTCCAAATTAGAATAGCCAATGGCGCTTCCACGAAATTCCTGTTTCTAAGAGAATCTTTTTATGAAAAGGACGTTTCTCTTGAAACGACATAGAGAATGGAACAGCTTGAAATAAAACCGAAGCCTCCGTATTTGGGACCTTATTGGGTTGCCCAACCAAGTCAGGTCTCATACCGGGTAAGAGGCCTATACTAGGACCTAGATTGGATGTCCTCGTAATTGGATCAAATTGGCCCTTCACATCAGACTCACTCGAATATTGAATTGGTCCTTTTTTCTTTTTCCGACTCCTAGTAAAAACGGCTTGGACTCATTCCACTTGATTTATCGGAGAATCTTGAAGACCTTGATTTATCTCCTCAATTTCTCTTTGGCTTTGGATCTGCTGATCCTGTTTATTGAAATTGGATGGAGCATTGCATTGCTGATAAGTATGCCTCAACTTCTTGCAATTCCTTCACATTGGTGCGTAATCATCACTAGCTTTGGGATTGGAATATTTATTGGCATAATGACCAACCTGTCTGCAACGAAAATGATGAAATAGTCTTCTTGCACCCCCATCATGCATATTGGGTGTTTCCATTAGTATATACCTACTAGGCTTGTTCCATGTAGGGTTGGAAAATGATCTTGGTTGTCCCGTTGGTACGAAGGGTACTTGATTTGATGACGCCGGTGGGGTGACATTAATTGACTTTGAATATTCGCACTGGAATTGGCCAATGTTTCTAACATCCAAGATGACTAAATATTAATAATATCTTTTTTATTTATATTTTCACCATATAGTCATGTTACAATACAACATCCATCCTCTCTGAACCTATGCATCCTCTGGTATGCACTAAATAATCCAGTTGTTGTTTGATTCATAATACGTTCTGCAAGTCTTCATCCAAATCCTCTTCATCATTTTTGCTATCCATGTCAAATTCATCTTCCTATTGAGGAATATCTATATCTTTTCTAAGGTCTTCTATATGTATTTTTGTGTATCTTTGTTTAAATATTTTTACTCACTTCCTTACAATTGGTATTTTCAACCTTGTTCCATCTAACTCCCGTAATGAGTAAGTTGCATTATCATGAACAATTGTTACCACATACGGTCCAAAACATCGTTTAGAAAACTTCCTTAAAGTACTATGTTGATTGTCCAAGCTACTATCATAGACCAAAATCCAATCACCTTCTTCAATTGCTTTAGGCCTCAATCAATGTTGCTTATCAAATCGTGTCTTGTTTTATAACCTCACTCTTTTTAACCTTTCTAATGCTATTTGTATATCTTCTGATCTTTGCTCTAACTGTTGAATTCTAATAGCTAGAAGTTCTTCTCTTGTCAATCCATCTTTCTATGGTAGCATACTCCAAATAGGTATTTTTCTTCAATTGGCATAATTGGTTTTTGGCCTGTCATAAGCTCAATAGGCATATATCCCGTTACTGAGCTATGAATTGTTTGATCAGCCTATAATACAAATGGCAAAAGTCGTGGCCATTCTCTAACCTTCCCATTACAAGCTTTAACTAATGCTTTCACAATCGATGGGTGACCACGTTCACTTTTTGTATTTCCTTCAGGATTATAAGCAGTAGTCAGTGATAGTTTAATTCTATATCTTTCAAAGAATTCATAAGTTTCTTGTGCATTTAATTCTCCACAATTTGCAGTGAATTTTCCTACACATCCGTAGCAGCAAATAACATCTTCAAGCAAAAATCTACAAATTCCTTCTATAGTTTTTGTTCTCAATGCTCTTCCTTCTATTTGATTTGATAAATCTTCACGAGCTAAGACCAAATATCTCATTTGCCATAACCCGATTGGCATAATAACCAAATCAACAACCCATTTAAAATAAATAGGTAGAGGATATGTAGGATGAAGACCATCTCGATGTCGTATATTAGAATACGCTTGACAAATTTCACATGATTCTACAAATAAGAGCACATCTCGATACATATTTTTCAACCAATATTGTTCCTTAAACTTAGCAAAAGTAGCCCAAATTCCTCTATGTCTTGTCCATAAACTATCATGAAACCCCTTTAATAATTTTTGTTTCTCTTCCTTATTGCCTATCACTCTTTGTGGCATTCTAATTCCTTTCTTTGGTCTCTTCCATAAGAATCCTTCTTGAAGCAAAAATCCATGTGCTTTTTTTCTTATTTGTTTAAATTTTTTTATAGACCAATTTTCTTGCTTAATTAA